GTGAACGAGCATATTTGGCCAATTAGTCATCCTATATATATTTACGCAGACGCTCTGTATGTTTTGTCCTGGCAATACAGCCGTGTCCCCAGTTCTCTGTCTTCTCCCTATCGCGTAGTCTGGCAGGCTCACTGCAGGCGTAACCAATAGCTCGGCCACCATACAATACAACACAATCACACCATTATTCTAGTGCAGATTACTGATAAGTGGCGAAGCGACGCAACGAGCACCGCATGGTCGAGTTACTTGATGTTGTCACATACACGCGTAATTGTACCCAATCACACGTCACTGCGCCATTGGGACAACGCAAATGTGCGTGCGGCGCGTTTGGGACACATGAAAGCACTCAATATTACTATGGGGGGGCTATTCTTGGCATGACAAATGCTCAGTATGGTATAGTGTACTGACCGTACGATGATTTCGACCAATGCTGGTAGCAACGTTCATCCCATGATGCACAGGAAAAATTTATGCTCGTTCGAAAACTGATTAACTATTCCAGTATTGGATAGATAATCTGTATCCCCCTTCTCTCTCACACACTTAAGTTCGATCACTCGGGGTAGATCAGCGATTGAGGCGCGAATCTAGTGAACACAAGGTCCCTGGCTCGAACCCAGTACCGGATTTTCGTATTACTCTTGCCTGGACTTAAGTAGCCTGTCAGCATCTCAACCCTCGAACTCGGTGTGGGTTGTGTTGGAGGGAACTTTGCATCGGAAAGGTACCAGAGCTCGACGATTTTTCCGTTTATTTATTCACTTTAGGTCGATAAAGCTATCAGGATCTTTACAGATCCAACTTGATTCCATTGTCATAATTGAAACAAAAACCGCATTCCTTACTCTCCTTTGTTTGCTTGCAGACAGTCGATTTGAGCCGTTATTATCCACTACGATTGCTTGAAACGGGGCAAGATATCCTGTTTTTCTGGGTTGCTCGTATGGTTATGTTGGCCTTGCAGTTGACCAAAGTCGTTCCTTTCAAAGAGGTAAGAACGGGTGTTTTATTCTTTGGCTTGCTTGTTTCTTGCATCACGGGAGTTCATGTTGCTGCGGTATTTAGTAGCGAGAGCGCGAATTTACTGACCGGAAGGGCTGTGGTTCGAACCCGACTTCTACCGCTCAACTTCCCCTATCTGGGCTTGGTCAGCTTGACAGTTTCCCAGCCCTCGTGCTTCCTTTAGGTGGCCTGACAGCCGGACACCAAACGGGTGCTACAGCTGAACAATTATCTTTTTTATCGCCTTAATAATTACTAGCTCATATACTGTACCATATGACAACTTCCTCCAGCTTCGGACATCCGGGGGTCGAGTTGGAACGCAGTGCCTCACTCATAGGTAATTGTTTTCACTTCGGACTGTTTGCACATTGCAGCCCAATAGAAGTAGGTTCAGGAACTAATGCAGAACTTGCATGTGCTTACTATGTATTTTCGACCTGAATATGCGAGTTTCAAAAAATTATCTGAGATCATCTGAGCAACACGTTTTGCTTATGTAACGCTGTTTGTTGCTAATGTCTAGCCGGGAGGATTGTACAAGAATTTTGCACATCGGTCATGTTGTGCGCGGTTTCTACGCCAAAACCGCAGTTAGGCGCCCCCAACGGCCAGCTCACACTTGATGGGTCAGAAGGTCAGGCCGCTTGCCGGCCCATCTCTGATTGGCCTAAAATGTGGGCTCACCATCCAACCACGTTCTAAGGGTATAAACCTCATTCCATTCATTCAATAGCTATTGGCGATGTACATATTTCGTTTTGCGTAATCAGTCCCTTTAACTACACCTTTTTCAAGCCATTTTCACGCAGTTAATTTTAAGATTGCATAACTCTGATCCCACAATGAGTGTGCTTACCTGCTTACACATTTTGAACATTGGTGATTGGTACACATAGCCTGGTACTTGCCGTCAAAATGTTCCTTGTAGCATTCATTTGGGTGGTTGTTGATCTGTTCGCAGAGCTTGACACTTGACTTGCAGCCGTCGCCTCACCATTCTAGGATGGGCGGTGATGGTGACTAAAAGTCTGTCAAGCTCAGTGAACAGATGAATAGCAACCTGAACACAACCAAGCTACCAGTATTCCAACACATTTCTGGTAATCAAATTGGTTTGTTGACATCCCCTTCCATGTTAGGTCGTTCTCCACGGACTTGTTTGTGACTCTCTCGGACAAAAAATGTCGAAAAGCAAAGGGAACGTTGTTGATCCCATGGATTTGGTCCACGGTATCGGTACGCTGTCCAAGGTGAGCCATTCTCATCTGGTTCTAAATTGCCATAGAATTTTGTGTCCCATTCTTATTTGGGCTGATACATTCACAAAATCTTTTTTTACACACACACACAGACAACCGTCGGTCCGGCAATTTCTGTGATCGGTGCAGACGCTCTCCGCGCATCTTTGCTCTCTTGTACACTGTCTCAACCAAAAGTTACCTACAGTCAGGAAATTGCCTTGGATATGCGGAGGTTTTGCAACAAGGTACGTTATTTTCCCTGGATTACTAAGAATAGTAATCGTACTTATACCACACATCATAATAGGACGGGTGTAGGAGCTGAATTTAGGTGTTCAGCTAGCTTTCAGCTTGACCGTTTCCCGCTAGCATGGAGAATTCACACTGTGAAAATGTCGACTCCCATTAATCGTTCCTCTTAGAATATGAATCAAATTGGGGGGGGGGTTCTAAAGAGCTGGGGACCTATTCAGAATGTAAAAGGTCTGAATAGCCAAAGGCCATTTCCTACAGAAAGGGGGAACTGCACAGAACTTTGTCTTCCACATCTGTGACAGTGCTTCTCCTGCAATGTTCGTACCGAAGGGTATTCCAACCACCCCCCTAGATTGTTCTATTATCCCGGTGAGGAGAGAACTTGTACGTTACATCCAACATATGAAACTGAACCCATTGATTCGAGTCACTAAATGTCGCCCTAAAAGGAACACTTAATCAGGCCTAGGTAGATCCAAGTGTATGGTCGCTTTGAGACACAATCACTACAGATATTCTTACGCTTTGGTGACACTCGTTCATCGTCGTGGCGCTAAAATCGCAGGATTGACCGTCCACTTCGAGCAAGAGTAGCGATCATCACGTGTTGGTTTGCTCTCTTCGACAGAATCCATCACAAAACGGTATGTATACTCAGTAAGGTTGATTCACATGCGAGTCAGAGGACCGAAAAGTCGGAGTCAGTGGGAACAAGGTGAGCCACCGTATCTGGAATTGGAACAACCAAGCAAGCAAAAAAGGTGCCAAAGACAGAAAGGTCAATGGTCTGTTGATTTGCAAGAGCGAATCTAACTGTAAGTAGTAACAGTAACTAATTACTTTAAGTTGGCTTTCTTGTATCTTGCTGAATGGTGTAGTTGTGTCCAAAAACCGTTCAGCTGTAGCACCCTTTCGGTAGCTAGCTGCCATGCCGCCCGAAAGAAGCATGAGTCCTGGGATACTGCCAAGTCGCCCAAGCCTAGACAGAGGAAGTCGAGAGGCAGAGGTCGGGTTCGAACCAAAGAACTTCTGGTCAGTAAATTCGCGCTCCAACCACTACGCCATCAGTAAGAAGTCGTAGATGTTGTATTTGGGCGTTCTTCATTCAAGAATGCACCGTTAGAGCACCTTAAACTAGTTGTATTCCGACATGAGAAATGGATCAAACATATGGGCAAAATCTTTCAACAGAGTTCGGATTTCCGTATTGTAATGATGCGTGCGCTCAAACAAACGGGCCAACTGAAACGGAACTATTGACTTTGTTCCACCGGGCCAAAGTGACCCAAAACATCACAGAAACTAATATTTTGAAACTCTCGCCCGCGCTAGTTGTTATATGTAATTTCATAAACATGGGGAACTTGAACATTTTCTTCAATGAAGCCTAACTCGATTTACCAACGATCATGTGTATAAGGCGTCTGACTAGACTGTCCTGCTAGATGGCTTCTTGCTTGAAGCAAGCGCGATGATTGGTGGGTTGTCGGTCAGGTTAGAACACGCCACTTCGGTAGAAACTTGTTCAGCCGTTGTAATCTGTCGGTGTTAGGCTACCCAGTAGCCGTCAACCATGCTGGTCGCACCAAATGTGGGAGTTCAACTTCCAACCACGAACATGGAAATGTGCCATAGGTCTGTTTGGGTGCAACTGACCGGAATCCGTGCACTGACCGCAGAATAATAAACTAATCAAGTAAGTAGCGAAATGGATGAACGCCCCCAAAGTACTGTAACACTTCACAAGCTTATTGGGGCGATTTACAAGCGATTTCGAATCGAATCGTTCAGTTGTAGTGCCATTTCGGTGTCTAACTGCCATGCCGCCCGAAGGAAGCACGAGGGCTGGGATACTGCCAGGTTGCGCAAGCCTAGACAAGAAGTTGAGAGTCAGAAGCCGAGTTCGAACGATAGACCTTCCGGTCAGTAAATCTGCGCTGTTACCACTGAGTCATCTCGCCCCGATAGCCGCAGGATGTTTGAACCTTATAGAAATTGTGTTTAGCTTATGTCCTCATTGTTTACTGTGCAGAAGTACAGTGTACCTTCTAGAGAAATCACTTCTCGTAAAGCAGCACTTTCATACGCTTCTTGAAACGATTCCGCGGGCAACAACACCTTCCCACAGTTGAACACTTTTAGTCAGTTTCTTAGGTGAAAACGTTCCTGATACTTCCCAATCCTAGAATGAATTACTCTTAAATTTCTCGCAGAAAACCCCAATCCGCGGAAACCTATACTGTATTAGCGGTATTATCGATTAGTGACAGAGTAGTCGTTAAATAAATTCACCCAACTTTTACATACCAGCTAGATAATGCTGCTGCATACGTTTCCATTTACAGATTTGGCAAACCGCAAGATTTCTACTGATGCGTTTCAATAAGACGGATTCCAACTCTGTCTTCGATAGCTCGACAGAAGACGCATGGCGGCAGATAGCTGATAATAGCACAGTGAGTTTCTATCGCTCTCTAATTAATGAGACCGTTCATCTGCAACATGTTCGTTACCTGGCTGCCAAGACATCTGGAGAAAGCATGAAGGCTGAGATAATGCCAGGTTGTCCAAATCTCGACAGAAGAAGTCAAGATGCTAAGGTTGGGTGTGAACCACGAACTTTCCGGTCAGTAAGTTCGCTCCTTTACTGAGTTCTCGTACTCGGTGTGATGTGGCCGCTAGGCTCCTCTTCCTAGTGGTGAGGAGCGGTCATCCTGTTCAACGATGTCACCCGTTTTGGGCATACGCAACCTCCGTCCCAATGGGAGTACAGTTCCATTATATTGTTTTCTGTTGGCATCTTTTGCGTTTCAAAGTGGTTGCGTATGATACATTCTTGTGACAGAACAAGAAATATGCCCTCAGCCAAGCAACCCACTTTGATTCAGGCCAACTCCTAGGTCGGTAGAAACTCCGGGCAGTTCGCTAACGGTTTCGCCCTATTTCGGGTTCATCGGAAATGCCCATTAGCTGAATCTCCTTCAATTCTGTTTCCTATTTGTGTTGTTAATGGGATACTCAGCTGTAGGTTACGTGAGTGGTTGTTGATCTGTTCGCCGAGCTTGGCAGTTGGGGGTGAGTGGCCCATTCCACCCTGCACGTCACCTCGATTGGAGATGAAACGTTTGCAATCCAGCTGCCAAGCTCGGCGAACAGACCAACAACCAAGCAGCGCACCCGAGCTACCTACATTCCACAACATTGCCGGCTATCTAAATGTTAGAAACGAGATCCAGGCAATTTCCAGCTGAGTCAAGATTATTGTAGGGTTACTTTGGTTTGACCACATTTCGCAACACGATAATACGGAATTCTGTCTACTTTACCTGAGCTACAAGGGAAAGTACGACAGAGATGTGATGAGTAGTTGTGGAAACGATAATTTGGAAGTTGTACACGGCTCAAAAGTATCCACTGACTGCCTTTTCTGCTTTCGGCGTCTTGCACAGTGATTGGTGAATCATGTGCAGTGTTCCCCGTTAATTAGGTGACAAGAAAAATTGGTGCATGAAGGGATCAATTCAAGACTGTGAATCTTTTCTATCTCTGATCGTCGGATTTGTGCATTTCTTTGTGCAGATGTCAAGCGAGATGGCTCAACTGGTTAGAGCGCGAATTTACTGACCGGAAGGTCCGTGGTTCGAACCCGACCTCCGCCACTCGACTTCCCCTGTCTAGGCTTGGGCAACCTGACAGTATCCCAGCCCTCGTGCTTCCTTCGGGTGGCATGGCAGCTAGGCACCGAAAGGGCGCTACAGCTGAACGATTATTATTATTATTATTATACTCAGCTGTAGGTTACGTGAGTGGTTGTTGGCAGTGGGGTTGAGTGGCCCATTCCACCCTGCACGTCACCTCGATTGGTGATGAAACGTTTGCAATCCAGCTGCCAAGCTCGGCGAACAGACCAACAACCAAGCAGCGCACCCGAGCTACCTACATTCCACAACATTGCCGGCTATCTAAATGTTAGAAACGAGATCCAGGCAATTTCCAGCTGAGTCAAGATTATTGTAGGGTTACTTTGGTTTGACCACATTCCGCAACACGATAATACGGAATTCTGTCCACTTTACCTGAGCTACAAGGGAAAGTACGACAGAGATGTGATGAGTAGTTGTGGAAACGATAATTTGGAAGTTGTACACGGCTCAAAAGTATCCACTGACTGCCTTTTCTGCTTTCGGCGTCTTGCACAGTGATTGGTGAATCATGTGCAGTGTTCCCCGTTAATTAGGTGACAAGAAAAATTGGTGCATGAAGGGATCAATTCAAGACTGTGAATCTTTTCTATCTCTGATCGTCGGATTTGTGCATTTCTTTGTGCAGATGTCAAGCGAGATGGCTCAACTGGTTAGAGCGCGAATTTACTGACCGGAAGGTCCGTGGTTCGAACCCGACCTCTGCCTCTCGACTTCTCCGGGTCTTGGCTTGGGCAACTTGACAGTATCCCAGCCCTCGTGCTTCCATTGGATAGCATGGCAGCTAGCTACCGAAAGGGTGTTACAGCTGAACGATTTTTTTGTGTATAAGCTGATGGCAGTTCTACTCTCCAGCACAATTTTGACCTTCTCCCTTCGCATATTTCCAAGACATTTGGTTTTTTGTTGACTTCGATCCTCGGCAACTAGGAGCACAATGAAACCAGTATGAGATTGTCCCGAAAACCGGCACGTTTTGCTTTCCCTTCTAGCTTCAGAACCCAAAGTACTAACCAAATCTGTCTCAAAATACTTTCCTTCGCTATTCGTTCGCATGTTAGTATGGGGAACGCTACATTGTTACTAATTTTAGATTCCGCTGTTAACCTATATGTTCGTTTAGATTCATTACTTGTGTTTGGCGTACTGTGGTTGACAAGTGCATTCAAAATGATACCCTCTCCCATGACCTGTCCTCTTCCTCTGTTCGCATCCCTTAGTTGTGGAAAGCATGTTCTTTTCATTTCAAAAGCATCTTGCATACCGCAGTCTGACAAACTACTCGCAGAACCCTGAATTAGCCGAATTTTCAATAGATATTTAGCGGATTTTCTTCACCAAGGTACTGTAACTCACATGTTCTTAATTCTCGTCAGTCGACTTGGGTCGGAACAGAATGGATGTGATGTATGGACGTCCCGTGCAAGGGTTACTTGCTTCAGAGAGTGACCATCATCCGAGCCAACAAAAATCTGGGTTCTCTTCGTTGATATTTTATAACTCTACCATAGGGGTCGTTCAACGTAGGCTATAAGTAAGGTCTGTGGAGCATTTTCAGGCGGGCACTCGGTTCTGCACTCTCGCTTAACGTGTACTCTCGTATTTTGGTTCTTGCACACTGTTATCTGTAGTTCATTAACGTCTCATCTCACAGGACCTGAGCCTGGCTGATCGTTGGCTCATTGGCAGGCTATCGACACTTGTCAGGCAAATAAATTACTCTTGGGCCGGAGAATCGGATCTCCTCGAACAAACCGGACTTGAGCCGTTCAACCTCTCTTTTGGAGTCAATCAATTGCGTCTCTGGTGGATGGAAGATCTATGTTCTGTGTATTTGGAGATTCTGAAGTTCCGGGAGACAAGTGAGGTTTTCTTTCCCGAAATTAATAATTAAAATCTGGTGCAGTACTCACTACTTAAATCAACTCTCCTAATCGGCTGAGTAGTATTGTTCCCAGATATCATAATTAAATCTGGTGCAGTACTCACTACTTAAATCAACTCTCCTAATCGGCTGAGTAGTATTGTTCCCAGATCTTCTTAGTCACGTTTTTGTCAGTCCCGAATACACCATAGACGTTCTCTGAAACAATTAACAAACAGATGCACTGGCGTGTCTGCGTCCCTCTTAGCTAGAGGACAATCAGAAAGAGCGCAACGCCAAACTCCACAATATGACACCAGGCTACCTGAGGATCGATGGAACCGGGTGGTTTGCTGCATTACACGGCATAGATGAAGCTAGGAGACGGTGTGATTTGTAGTATGCATCCATAACCTAGAACACGCTGTATCTCGTTGGTGCTCCAACGAGTATGACTTTCGATTGGGTTACGTTGAAGTTGGTAAGCATTAGACCCCACTTCATGATTGTCCGGTCAGTACGAAATTATCTCACTCTTCATGGATTGTAGCTTGGCACTAAACGTTTATCGTCATTCAACTGTAGTAATACACTTTCAGTGCCTAACCACCATGTCACCCAAAAGAAGCACGAGGACTGGGATACTGCAGGTTGCTCAAGCCTAGACAGGGGAAGTTGGGAGGCAGAGGTCGGGTTCGAACGACGGACTTTCCGATCAGTACATTTGCGCCCTAACCACTGACTCATCTTGCCCTAAACGGTTACCCCGAGTGGTTAGGTTAATCTGACCGACAACAGATGGATTTGAACGAAACACTAGGATTTGAAGGATAGGAGTGCGGAAAAGTAGATGCTAGTTAAGCACCAGTATGTAGTTTTAGTGTGTTACTGTCAATGATGATGGTGAAGGTGGCCACAGTGAGGAAGCTCTGATCTGAATTCCGTCAAGACCATGTATGCATTTAATCGTTGTATTCTAAACAAAACCACGAGAGCTGGAACAACGGGGAGGCTTCGTTAGCATTGCTGTATAGCTCGAGATAGCTCAGTGGTTGAGGCGTGGAACTGCTAATCGGAAGGTTCGTAGCTCGAACCCAACCTCAGCAACTCGACTGCTCCCGACCATATCTCGGCCCTCGTGCTTCTTTCAGGTTACATGGCAGCTGGGCACCGAAAAGGTGAACGATCTGTCCCTCTAGCAAAGCTGTAAGAGTGTAAATAGGTATATACAAGGTATATGTGTATACTAAAGTATGAATACAAACCTAACTCCAGTTTGTTCGATGATTCCTGCTGGACTTGATGTTTGCTTTGAATTTCCGTAGCCTGTTCCAAAGTCTTTATCAAGAGTCGGTGGTCCGCTTTCCCAGATAAACAAGCATAGAAGAAAGGAGACTTCCTTGGAAGTTTAATTGTGTTATAATTACTTGAGAAGAATCTGTGCAAATGGATAGCGACTGCATATCCGTCCCGAAGATACGACCATGTTCAGGTGTAAGCAGTAAGCTGAGCGAGTTTGGCGTATCGAATGCGATAGAATGACCCAGCAGTATCAGCTTGTACGAAGTGATATGTTTGTGTGCGAACCCTTACTGATGATCACTCCGCATCTGGAAGAATTAGTCTATCTATGGTGATTACGATGTGAAACCGACACCGAATGAGACGTGAATGGCTGAAGTGGTCCGTTTTACTACCCAACTTCACCTTTTTTGGCTTGGAATTCATCGTCTTCGTCGCTACGGGCGATGTTATTCTCTCCGTCCTCCTTTTGCAGCCAAAACAAACCGTAGTGATGTGTCCCTGCGAATCGCCCTGACCGCCATCGAAACTGCCCTATATGTTCTTCATCCAATCATGCCACATTTGACAGAAGTAATCTGGCAAGAACTGAAGTACCCGGTTCTCTCAGTCGAGCGGCGATCAATTGCCTTGCAGCCCTTCCCATCCCCTTCTTGGGTAAGTCATGAGTCTATAACTGCTCGATCACAGAAGCCGTTTCAAAGGTTACCGGTGCTCGGTTCTTTCGAGAGACTCAACCGGAACCCAGCTGAATCTCTCGTTTATGATGTTCTCGCGATATTTCAAATATCGTAGCGGCTGAAATATGAGGCGGCCTGGTGTAGCACATTTAGTTGCTTGAGAACATCATAAACGAGAGATTCAGCTGGGTTCTGGGTGAGTCTCTCGAAAGAACCGACCACCGGTAACCTTTGAAACGGCTTCTGTGATCGAGCAGTTATAGACTCATGACTTACCCAAGAAGGGGATGGGAAGGGCTGCAAGGCAATTGATCGCCGCTCGACTGAGAGAACCGGGTACTTCAGTTCTTGCCAGATTACTTCTGTCAAATGTGGCATGATTGGATGAAGAACATATAGGATTTCCGTATCACCTGCATTTTTTGTTACAGTTTCCCCCGTCATTGAGTTTTTCCTCCACTCTGGACGACCAAATGAAATCCCTGCTTTCTTTGGCATCAAATGTGAAGTCCTGGCGACCTCTGTTGAGACGATCAAATGTGGAGCGGTCAAACGAACCGTCATTGTATTTATTCAGTGCCGAAGGAATCCCCCGACCGGATGAAGTCGAAGTCCTGACAGCATTAACTCGGGTTCCGTGCGTAACTGACGCAGAATCCTTGCCTGTGCATAGAATTTCCCTAAAATTGTCAGAAGATTCTCCATGGCAGTTAGTCCTGAGTACGGAGGTGAGTTAGATTTGGCGACTGGTTCTCCCCGTGTTCGAGCTACGTGTTATGAGTAGTTTCTGAATCCACTGCATTTGTCCCCAATCGGTCCCGTTCGAAAATCCCCATTCCGCCCAGATGCGACTATCCTAGTGAGTCTACATCAGACCTAAAGGTACCGCTCTTATCATAATTTTTTGGTGATCAAGATTTGAAATCCAGATATCTGACACGCGAAAGAAGTGTGAATTTACTTGAAAATCCATCAAATCCTGCAGTGATCGCGTAAATTTGACAACATCTAGTTGGACCAAAAGTCATTCAAAATTCCATAGCCATCCACAACCGACCAAAAAACGTTTATCAAGCTTAAGTGTCCGTAACGATGTCTAACTTAGAAGTTCTCACTGGTGGGTCAATCGATCGATGCAGTCAGAAAAGCCCCTGGGTCGTCGTGGGAGCCCTCGGACTAACCAGTCACGTCATACAAAACGTGAACGTCTTCACCTGTTCGGACGTGATAATACGGATGCCTATATTGTATCTTGGTGAAAAAGCGGGGGCACGCTTGCTTCGCGTGTCAGATGTCCGAAGTTCAACTTCCATCATGGCTCGTTACGTGTGCCGCAGCTAGTGATCTCTGGTAAGAACGGAACTAGAGTCCAGTTAGTTCTTCCCCGGACTAACCGGAATAGTCTTGTCAGGATGAGGACTAAATTGTCCAGACGAACTCGACGTAATCAGCTGACTCCCCTGTTCAAAACAACGGCAGCATGTGAAATCGTGCCGAACCACATGTTCTGCCTCATGCGGTGCGAAATTCCAGGTTTTCGGTTCTAATCGACTTCGGTTTCGATCTCAAGCTTAGGATTTTTCAAGCTACCACATTTTTGGTCTCATTCCGCAAATGGGGATATAGTGAAAACCCACCTGCATGATTGCCTTTTTGTTTACAATCTAGACCCTAAGTTAGGTTTGACGTGATCCCCAACCACATCAGTTGCAAGAGCAGGGTTTCTTGGCACTCATATTGACCATGAGTCAACCACAACTAACTAGCGAGATCGGCGAGTCACTTCGAGTCACTTTATCGTCAACCCACTCGTGGGGACGGTGTTACAACTTTTTCGGCTCATATCCCAAATCATCTTGAACTAAACCAGATCCACTGTAGGCCTGGATCCCTGTAACTAAAACACGGTTCTCGGCTATGGGCTTGCTTTCTTCTTTTTGGTAGACCTTTTTCACTATTGTCATTCCAACCAAGTCGATATCACGGCTTGGTCTCGGTGGATTCGGGGGTTGTAAGCTCAATAGTGGCAAATCAGGTGCTCCTCGACTGGGCCGTATGGTCAGTGGTGTGAGCTCGGCAGCTGAGTGTGGGCATGACAACCGAATGGAAGACGCACCACAAGCCCCTCTTGTCATCAAACAGCAGCATTGAATTACACACGCACTTGGTCTTGATAGGATTGATTGATAAACTATCCACTCACTGCACAACCCAGCTTCATAATGCTGCCGAAGTTCGAGTACAAACGAACACTGATTTTCAATGTATCGAGATATAATTGCAGTTTGGGTGCGTTTACTGGTGGTTCATCAGATAGCCCTTGATCTGTTCGCCAAGTCCATCAATTGAATTGCAAACGTTTCGGTCCCAGCTCGCCGAGCCCGGTGAACAGATCAACGGCCAGCCACCAGCGAACATTGGCTATGGAGTTCTGAACCGATAACATGGTATGCGGTCGACGGTGTTGAATGACGGGTAAAAAAAATACGGCTGTGTTGAGCGAACTGTTTGAAGCGTTCAGGATTGTGAGCCGTCTTCTCTCTAGCCTCGCACGATTTCGAATGAAAAGAGATAGGCTATTAGGTCGTACAACATTCTGTTGCGTGCGATCACTGATTTTCTACGACGTCATGTGTTGTAAGCTGTCCTCATGGTTCATGTCGGTTCATGTCGCCAAAATTGAAACTCACCGATTGCTACATAGGCATATTGCGTTTCAGGTTACCTCTTTTCCATAGCATGCGTCAGCTGCAAAAAATGACTGTTCAGCTGGCATGCCATTTCAATGCATAGCTACGGTACAACTCAAGGGAGACACGGGCACAAGTTCGCCCCGAACTTGGATTAATTTGTATGTGCGTACTGTAGTTATCGTTCATTCCCATTTTCAATTGGTGTAAACGAGAGATCAGGATGAGTTTCAAATGAAATTCTCGGTATGTTAGACTGACCAATGACCAGAACTCTAATCTCGAACTGATTAAGAACTTTTGGGATGAAGTGGTATAACAGGCGTACACAACGGTGCACACCCCATTGCTATTTGGGAATCGAATGGGGAATATTGGTCAAATTTCATAAAGGAAACTACTCACAAGGTTGCTGAAAACTCTCCGACAACCCACAACCGGTTTCGCCCTTCCTGGGGCTCATCAGTTAGGCACAGTCCCCGAGTTTCCGTCAATCTTGGTCAAATGGTTACATAATGTATCGCGAAACAACTTATGAAGTTTTTGGACTGAAATTTTCAAAATTAACCATTGAAAGTTGTCTGGATGTGGCGGTATCCTAGGGCGGTCCCATATATATTTCTGGTGCTTGTTTTCCGCTCTTTGTTACCTGGCTGTTCGGGGAGCTGCTCAGTATGTGCACAGTGGAATGGAATTTCCGAAGGCTATGACGTGTCCCTGATAGATTAAAGTAGTCATTATTCCATACTTTTCCGCCAGCGGTATGATTGCTCCAGTGGGCAATGAAATTTGGTGAGGGGCAAAAATATGAACGTAGATCAGAATGGTTTTTGGTTTGAGTACATACGCGACATTTTGGCGCAAAAATTTTTTCTATAGAGGAAAATGTCGGTAGCTCAGGTAGCGTAGATGGTTGTTGGCTTNCGATTGGTAGTGATACGTTTGCAAACAAATTGCCCAGTTCAGCAAAAGGTTTCATTTCCTCCCAAAGGTTTTGCAGCTAAGGGCATTGTTGGGCTAATGGGCACCGTTCGGGCACGCTTTCTGACCCCGTCGTTCCATTTCGTGCATTCATGATGAGATTATGGTATTCAAAAAAAGCACTGAGTCCCGTATACATATAGTTGGATTGAGCGAATGAAATCTTATATTCAGCCAGATTGACTCAAAAAATGAATGCACCTATCATAAACGAGAGATTCAGTTGAGTCTCCGTGAAAACCAAATTGATTTACAAATGAGTGTATTTCCCGAAAACAATTCAATTTGGGTTCAGGTAGAACGTAAGGTTGACGGAAACTCGGGGACTGCGCCTACCTGATGATCCCCAAGAAGGGCGAAACCGGTCGTGGGCTGTCGAAGAGTTTTCAGCAACCTTGTGAGTAGTTTCCTTTATGAATGCACATAGAACTGGAACTTTATCAGATATGTCGTTCGTTTTTTCCCATATTACACCACATACTACTGATTGGCAAAACGTCCCCCTCTGGCTGCGTGCGCGTGTGTGTGCAGCTTTTACATTTCCGTCTTCTCCACAAAATTTCAGTTGTTTGACCTCCAGTGGACACAAAACGAATTGCAGCAACGAGTGGACTCCCTATGCAAACGACGTGCTCAGCTAGTCGAACAGGAGTCAAAAAACGATTCGGAACAGCATATCCGTGCCCGACAACAAAAGGTGTGTTTTGCTTACAACTTGGCAGTTCCTTTTGATCCTGTGTGAACCCACTCGATCTGGTGGAAGACGCGTCTCCTCGTTCACACTGTGCCCTGTTGTCATTGTCGTTGTCAGACAAGCGCCATGAATGATTAAGGACTTCATGGTGATTCCCCCTTTGTATTTTCCGGTGTAGGACTGAATCAGGAATTGAATTGCCTGTCTATCTCCCGTTCTATGGTGAATGTTGATCGTTTTCAGTTCCTGTGTGAATCTCCTACAGGGCCCTAGAAATTTACCACTACGACTGGGACTGAATGAGCTGAGAATTGAGATTCGTGCGCTAAGAATTCTTGTTTTTGTGAAGTGAACAACAGGTACACGTTCTTTGGTATCACACGATCAAAGTGTGCTTACTTTGACATGTGGATGTCATTCCGAGGTGGGGACACCCATTCTGGGATTCGAACCCGGGTCGTTGATAGTTATGAAGCGATTGGCTCACGGGTGTCAGTGACATTCATGCTGTCAGTGTCCATCCAGATTTTCTGACTGAGTGCTGATGGCTTAGGCCTCTCCGAAGCTCCTTATAGGTTGGCCCTAGGTAGTCCTCGCTATCCCATCATAAGGCTCTATTGGAATACACTGACGTGGTTACACGGCAGTGAAACACCAGTGTTCGCTCTCACACAGTGACCTTCAATCTCACAACGCATATTCGTTTCCACATTGGTAAGGCCTATTACTTTGGGAGCGGGGAACGTACCGTATTCTACACCCCAAGACTTCAAAAATTTAGTGTTTCCTCTCGATTGAATCACCATGACTAATTTTTTGGTTCTATGGATTGGATTGTCTGTTTATCAAGAACGGTTTACCATCTTTTCTCAAACTGAGTCAATTCCTCATTTTCCTTCTTTTTCCGTTTTCAGATCCTTTCACTTGATGAACGCCTATCTGCCTTGGCTCACCAGCTGCATGCGTTCACGAGCCGATACTGAATGTGTAGATATTCTTTCTATTTTGAGGTGTTGAACCCTTGGTCTACATAAATAAAAACGTTATATATTAGCACTCAACTGTCCGCAGGCGATCTTTTCTGTTTATTCGACTTGAGCTCTAAACTTTACGAGCGGTGAACAACCATTGAGTTGGAGGATTTGATGTGTTCCACCACGAAGAGACTGAACCTTGCCATGGTTTTACAGTTTGCGCACCTCAGCAACCCATTGAGCTATACTGGAGGGTGTCCCTGTGACACTTGCAGATTGGTCGATGGTGAAAAGTCTGACGAACACAGTCTCCCGGTTCTCCAGGTTGGGGGTTGGAACATGTATGTGCTTGCGCCGTAGAAATGGCAATGCATTTGCATTTCCTGCCAAACACCGCTGACTTGCGGTTAGGCTTTTGAGCCAAAGGCTTTGGTTGATGATCCTTATCGTCCTCCTGTCTAGGTGTGGGCGCCCTGGAAGTATCCCAGCCCACGTACAACCATGAATTGGGTTGTACGGCAGTGAAGCACAAAGGTTCCTCATACTATCATTAATCTATAAGTATGTCAGGAAGAGTAATTTCACAAGATGAGTAAAATTTTCATCTAGAAATTCGTTACTCAAGCAACCAGTCAATACGTGACTACGTGATGTGATTTCTGTGATTGATGAATGAGCGATATTTTATCCTGTCCAAGTGAGCGCTGTTCACACTGCCAAGCGGTTAGGCGTTCAACCACTCGCCCGAAGCTGCAGTAGGGAGTTTCGTGAGAAGCACACTGCTGATGCTCCTCGGCTTTACCTCTTAGATTGGCCTCACTGACTGGACGAGAACTCAACTGAAAGTCGCCGAACCTCTTCACGCTACGACCACTCAGCAATATGTCAAAATGTCGGTAGCTCTGATACGTTTATTGGTTGTTGATCTGTTCTCCAACTTGGCCGTGTACAACCGTTGATATCCCCTTGATGGTTGACGAAACGTTTGCAAGCTAACTGCCAAGTTCGGGGAACAGATCGTTTAGCCGCCTGATCAACAACCAGTAAGCGGACGACTGTTTCCGAAGATGACTCAAAAATTTGAAAGTGAACCAGGGCGTATACTTGTACAGGCAGTTTTCGAAACGGTAATCGCTTGAATAGCAATCGAGTCACGTGATTGAACTGGCGATTCTCAGCTGGTTGATTGTGGTCAACGTGGTCTTGTTGATTGACTTGATAGCTCTTGGGTACGGGTTGATGGTTTTTCATGCCCGACTGCGCTCCACTCACCTTTGACCTATTGGTAGAACCCCCTTTGCCTTGAGGATTAGGCTGGCTTATAACTTGTGGAAAACTGGAGGTTTCTGGTTGAGTTCCGTTCTCTACGTGCACAACCGATTCACCCAGACTATGCCGAGTTTTACTCAGAACCTTCAAGGTTGTGGTAAAAATAAAACAAATTTTTGGGTCTACATCCAACATATTAGTAAAGTTTGATAACTGAATCTTTTGGTAGTACAAGTCGATTCGCAAATGAGTGGGGCGAGATGACCCAAGTGGTTGGAGCGTCAATTTACTAACCGGAAGGTCCGTGATTCGAACCCGACCTCTTCCGCTCGACTTCCCCTGTCTAGGCTTGGGCAACCTGACAGTATCCCAGCTCTCGTGCAACCTTTCGGGGGCATGGCGGTTAGGCACCGAAAGGGTGCTAAAGCTGAAGGATTTTCTAATCACTCTTCTGGCATACTTTGATGTTCGAATAGGGATCGACCTTGAGCGCCTGTCAGTTGAGCTTCCCCCCTCTCCCAAGAAAACGAAACCATTGGGAATGATTGTTCATCTTAGAGGTATTCATATCAAGAAAAGCACTCCGATAACTTGAGCCTTGCTCCTACTGAAACCTGAAACGGTTTTGGTAGAATATACCATAAACAGGAAATTCAGTTGGATCTTTCGCCAACATCAAATTAGCTTTCAAATGAACTTTCATCTCCACGAATTGTCATGTCAGCCAACACTTATCTTGT